TTAACTCTGTTTTCTCCTCCACAGATGCTGCCAGACCTGCTGAGCTTTTCCAGCAACTTTTTTTCTTCTAGCATAGTGGTTAGTGTTCCTGTGTCTAAGCCAAAAGCTCTGGATTCAAATCCCATTCCAAGGCTTGATGGTCAAGCAGAGTGCATCTGTAATGTGGCCAACCAGATTGGACATTAAACAAAAACAAAAATTGCTGGAAAATCTCAGCAGGTGCGGCAGTATTTGTGGAGAGAAATCACAGTTAACGTTTCAGGTGCGGTAACCCTTCAGAATTGATGGTAGCTAGGAAAAGGATTTGTTTTATACAGAAGGTGGGGGGTGGGAGTAAACATTAGGTGGAGATAGACCCCAAAGAGAAAGATAAACAGTTGGACAAAGAAGTGGATAAATACCAGCCTAGGAGAATGAATAGCTGCTAATGGGAACTATTAGTAGCTAACAATAGATAATGTGTGGTAGCAGCCTATGTTATGACAATGAAGGGTCTAGGCCCGAAACGTCAGCCTCTCTGCTCCTACGATGCTGCTTGGCCTGCTGTGTTCATCCAGCCCTGCACCTTGTTGTCTATGTTATGACAAGGCCTGGTACATTTAGGTGGGGTAAAAATGAAGAAAGGTGCTCAAGCTCTAAAATTGTTGAACTTGATATTAAATCCAGAAGGCTGCAGGGCTCCCAAATGGAATATCGAATCTCAACCTGCAAATCCTTCAAACACATGCCAGTGACAGATGGCAAGGGTGGGAGACATTCCTAGTCAGCCACGTGACAAAGAACACTGGAACCTCCAACATCATTAACCATTGATCCAGATCACAACATGCAGGTAAAAGGTACACATTGCCAGAGCAATTCATTAGTCTATGAGAACTGTAACACAGCACCACCACAAACCAACAGTGCCACTTCCACTCCTCCGTCCATACATATATAACCTGTTGATGAAAGGCAAATTACGGCAACCTGTTTATGCACATGCCTTTGGTTGTATTATAGCACTTGTACAAAGTATATTTCTGGGAATTGTGCATAAGAAGCAAACATTATTGTTTTGAAAGTTTTGATGACAGCTTCACACTCCAGTGAGTTACAAACCACAGAGCACCAAGATTCAGTTAAACTCTAAGGAACTGCAACTCAAAACCAAACAAAACCTTCAAACATACTTACACTCTTCTGTTAACTCAAAGCTACAGACAGCGACTTAATTTTGATCTCAAACCATATGGGTAGCTGTGAAATCAACACAAGCATGTTTGCACGTACCTGTGCATCAAAAGATAAAAACCTTTCTGTTGAGACGGACATAAAGATCGACTCCGAATATTTTCAACACTAGATTTTTTTTTCGGACCGGCAGCAGGAATTTAAAAACGAGGTCAAGATTCCGTCAGAAAGGGAGGGTTGGAATACGGGTTAACAGTTGCTTCCTGTCATCCAAAAGATATGCCAGTTGCCTCTTCCTAATATTAAGCCAATTATCCGAGCAAGTAAATACAATACTTATCTTTTAACACCGTTACTGTGAACATGCCAGTGTTGATGCAATAAGCTGTTTCGGCTGAAGCCCTGAAGTTAAACAAAGGGATCCCTGTCTGATACGTTTAGACCTTGAACAGCCTCAACTGGTCAAGGTTTAAACACCTCGAATGCAAAACTTCCTTCTCTTCTCACCAAATAAACAATACTTATCTGTCGTTTAGATTGCTATGTTTTGTATTTTTTTTAAAATACCGGGTTTGGATCTGTAGGTCATGACTGCTATCCCAGCACTACGTGTTTTTTTTGGGGGGGTTGGTGTTGGAAAAGAGTGTGTAGGCCTTCCCTCCGAAGGCGAGCAGAAACCAAGCCGAAAACAAATTCCAAACACAAGCCATTTTACCTTCACTCGCCACTGATCCAGACGGCCCGCTTCTTCATCGGCTTCCGATTTAAACTTCAAAACAATCCACAAAGGTTCGATCCGAGGGAGGGGGAGCTGGGCTTTATGTGGAATTTAGAGCCGAGGCAGGTCCAAGCACAATTTCCCTTTTTTTTGAAGAGGGGGGTTGAATATTAAAACAAAAAAGGAAAAAACTCGCGAGCTCTCAGCACAAGCTCTCCGATCCCTGTCGATGGTAGTTAGACCAATTAAATCCTTTGTGCGCCGAAGTTTTTCAAGTCTTTTTTTTTCCCCCTCTCTCTTTCTTCCCCCCTCCCCTCCGATGATGCAACCAAGTCTCTCGCGGTTTGTCGTCTCGAAAGTAACTTTCAGATCCGTCGCTGAATTTAAAGGTTCGCACGCAAAATAAAGTAATTAAAATGGAGTAAAAGACGACAGTGGGAGGAGGAGAGGGGAAAAATGTACCAAGTCCTTTCAAAGCAGGAAACGGCGGGCAATCGACAGCATTTCCCAAGACTCGATAAGTCAAGAAAAAAAACTGCAACAAGGGAGACAGGAAAAAAAAAGACCAGTTTCACCTTCAAGAAGGAGCTGATGTGGTTCTTCCTCCTGCTGCAGCTTTATTTTATTAAATAACTCTTCCCCCCCCCAACTCCGGCTCCTTTCTTACTGTAAGATTGCCGCACCCAAATCCATCCGAAATGAATTTCTTCACGCCCCCCTCCCCAACTTCCCTTCCCCTCCCCTCCCTCCGTGTCTGGCTCTGTTAACGATGCAGACAAGATCAGCAACACATCGCTCCAGGTTTTCGCGCAACTCCCCAGAGCCTCAGGCAAATAAAGACAGAAAGCAGCCAGTAAGAACCGCTGCTTCCTCAGCAGACACAGCACACTGACCGAGAAGAAGGAGGAGGTGTGTGTGTGTGTGTAGTTTAGAGAAGGAGGGGGGGAATGTGAAGTGAAACACAGGCAGATATGCACCGACAAGATAAAGCAACAGCGCCAGCTGTCTCCAGCGGCTACAATGTCGCCTGGGCGCCTTGATTGACATTTCAAACAGCCACACGCTGCAGTCTCCACACTCCCCTGTCAATCAGCAACCCCAGTCCCAATCATCTCCTGCTCCTGGGTCAGGGGCGGTCTCTTCCACGTCTCTGCTTTAAAGTTTCCTTTCCTCTGGTTGGGTGTTTTTTTTTGGGGGGTGGGGGGAGAATTGTGATGGGATTGGGGATGAGGATGAGAATGGAGAGGGGCTGGAGGTGGGTTTACTCAAATCAGTTTCCAGCAGACGGTGGTCCTCATTTGCACCAAAGTTGATGCTCAAGGGGGAAGTTGAGGCGGGGAGACTGTGCCAAGTCACTTACATTGTGTCTTTCTTAATCTCCCCTCCTGCCGGTTAATAATCTCCAAAACCGGGCTGGCACGCAAAAAAACCCCACTTACACTCATACAGAAGGGTTCTGAAGAGAATAATGTAATTATTTTTTTTCCAGTTTGCTTTACGAATCCAAATAAGATATGCCATTGTCATATAATATGAGGCAAAACGCTTTTGAGAAGGAGATGGTGACTGACTGAAAACTCATTTTTTTGGCACAGGCACAAGTGTGGAACATGTCGCACGGATTGAACGCCATTCTGTTTGGATCAGATTCATTGTCTGACTTGGCCACCACAACATCGGTTTGTAACACCGACACCACATGAATTCACTCGCATTTATTTAACACTCTCAATTTCGAACTCGCTGTACCCTGCTCAAATCGATTTTTAAAAAATTCTATTCAGTAGGCTAAGACCAAGAGATAGCCAAGTTTTGCTCATGTAGGCTTTGTGCCACATCTGTGATTTTTTCACCGGGCCATTTATAATTTTTTTTTCTGTGACAAAGTAGAATATATCTTAAAGAGATACTGAGACACGCAGAAACCCTTGAATCTGTAACTACATTTAATTGATTCCTCCTTTCACAGATGCTGACTTGTCCAACGCGTGGAATCCGCTTTTGTTTAATATACTTCTCGCATGTAAGATGTGAATAGGTATAACGTGAAACTGAGACAAGGAAATCATGAGACTATGCAGTCCGCGTCGAATTGATTCTCGTCTGCTTTATGAAGGGAGAAACAAATACGCTGTGTTAGAAAATACTGTCGCCTGGAAATGGGAAGGTTCAAATGCAGTATCATCTGCTTGTTTGAACTGCTGTGATTCACTAATGTATCATAGTACAGCGCTTGTTAGGTTCTGTTTTCCCCCCAGAAATGGAACCCGTTAAGCATTCGAAGCTGGCTGTGCAGCACAATCTCTGAGGCAATTGCTTTGGACCAACACTGCTCCTTTAGTTTCCTCCGTGTACTATATCGTGTTATCAGAATCTGTCTTCACAACCGAGACATCGGTGCAACCCTTCCTTCCTGAATACTTTCCTGTCTGCACCCTGCATAGGCTTCTATGCACGTATAATGTCAGATCTACGAAAAGAACGGCACTGGTCTTGCCTTGAACCTGCGCCATCGTGTTCAAGCAAGTTTCTGTCTATCGTTTCAATGTAGCTATACTATGAAAGCATTAAGGGGTTTTACTCCATCATTTTGTAAATCAAAATTAAAAAAAGAACTATTTGTATTTACATTATTAAACCGTTTATTTGTCTCAATGCTATAAAATTGATTTTTAAAATTAGTTTTGTGAATATAGACTACAGCACGATAAGAATGATTTTTTAAACAGTCTGATAGTAGTTTCAGAAATTGCCATTGGATAACTTAGTATTTTCAGATAGGATCTGCTATGTTCTGTAAGCTATTCACAGAATGAGATCAATGCTGCCAAAGCAGCTTTTATCTCTATCCCTACCTTCCCTAACAATATGATCGCATTGTTCTCCTTGAACTACTGCAATCCCTGTGAGGAAGGTGTTCTTATAACCGTGTTAGACATTTAGGATTTCATCCAGGTAATAAAGTTGGGAGGGTGCATTCAAGTCAGGGTAGTGTGGATAAGCTGTAGCTATACCTTGGCAGTGATGGGATACTCCGACTATTCTGCACTTTTCCCCAGAAAAAGGTTTTTGGAGCTAGGAGGTTCTGTCAAAGTAAGCTGAGTGAATGACTGCAATGTATCTTACATATTGAGCATGATTATATAAATAAGTACAGAAGCACATTAATGCAGGCCCCACAAATAAACTCTCATGCTAGTCACTGAGAAGGTGAATACTGAGTCCAGTGTCAAGGCTGCTGACCAAGCAGATCGGGTGGGGTTGACTTGTTTGAATGGCCTCGTGGTAGCAGCCATTCAGACAATTAGTGAGTCTTCTTCACAATCATCACTTCAGCCCGATAGATGGTAGAGGGGCTCTGAAGTGTCAAAAGGAGATTTGCAAAGTTCTTGACCTCTGCCTTGTTCTAGTAAGCCCTAGTTTAGTATATGACTAGTTAAGAGATGATTCACGGTGATTCCCAAGATATTGATGTACAGTGAAAAAATAAGATCATAAGACACCAGAGCAGAAATCAACCATTCAGCCCTTTGAGCCTGTTCCACCATTCAATCAGATTATCAGGTTGACTTGATAATCTTCAACTCCACCTTCCTGACTTTTCCATATAACCCTTGATGCTACTGCATTGAAGATCAAAAGGAGATGGGTGGGCTCTCTCTTCTCCAAGAACATAGTTACCTGGCTTTTAATTTGTTTTTGTCAGCCCAAGCCCTTTGTATTGCCTAAATCCTGCAGTAAACTTGCCTGGTTGCTTCACAAGTAGAAGGTTTGTGAATGAACAGTGGCATGGTAGCTCAGTGGTTAGCGCTGCTGCCTCACAGCACCAAGCACCTGGGTTTGATTCCACCCTCGGGCAACTGTCTGTGTGGTATTTGCACGTTCTCCCCATGTCTGCGTGGGTCTCCTCCAGGTGGTCCAGTTCCCTCCCACAGTCCAAAGATGTGCAGGGTAGGTGAATTGGCCATGCTAAATTGCCTGTAATGTTCAGGAATGTGTAGATCAGGTAGTTATGGGGGGATGTGTCTGGGTGGGATGCTCTGAGGGTCAGTGTGAACTTGTTGGGCTGAAGGGCCTGTTTCTGCACTGTAGTGATTCTATTGTGGAAATATTAGCAAATTGTCTTCCTCCTGATTTCATAACAGGAGGAAAATCATTTATGGAATTGCTGAAGATGTTTGTGTTGAGAGCACTTCGCCTGAGGAATTCCTGCAGCAATTTTCTAGAGCTGAGTTCTTGATCTTTCATAATCAAAATTATCCTTCTGTGTGCCTGGTATAACTTTGGTGAGGGGAGCACTTTCCCCCTGACCCCAACTGATTTGTTTGATGAGATCCAGTGCCATATTTGGTAACCATATAAGAAATAGGAACAGGAGTAGGTTGGTCAGCCCCTTGAGCATGCTCCACCTTTCAATAAGATCATGGCTGGTCCAACAGTCCTCATGTCACTTTTCCTGTCCTTTCTCCATAACCCTTGACTCCTCTCCTGATTAAGAATCCATCTCAGCCTTAAACTGAAATGTCAATTATGTTATTTATATATGGGAAGCACACAAATATGGAATCTGTTTGTTGTCCATTAAAAATGGGAATATATGTGATTTTGAATATATAGTAAACATAAGAACATAAGAACTAGGAGCAGGAGTAGGCCATCTGGCCCTTCGAGCCTGCTCAGCCATTCAATAAGATCATGGCTAATCCTTTTGTGGACTCAGATCCACTTACCCGCATTCTCACCGTATCCCTTAATTCCTTTATTGTTCAAAAAAAATCTACCTTTTTTTAAAAGCGTTTACTGAAGTAGCATCGACGACTTCACTGGGCAAGGAATTCCACAGATTAACAACCCTCTGGGTGAAGAAATTCCTTCTCAGTTCAGTCCTAAATCTGCTCCCTCTAATCTTGAGACTATGCCTCTTGTCCTAGCTTCACCTGCCAGTGGAAACATCCTCTCTACTCCTATCTTATCTATTCCCTTCATAATTTTATATGTTTCTATAAGATCCCCCCTCAATCTTCTGAATTCCAATGAATATAATCCCAATCTACTCAGTCTCTCCTCATAAGCCAACCCCCTCAACTCCGGAATCAACCCAGTGAACCTCCTTTGCACCCCCTCCAGTGCCAGTACATCCTTTCTCAAGTAAGGAGACCAAAACTGCACACAGTACTCCAGGAGTGGCCTCACCAGCACCTTGTACAGCTGCAACATAACCTCTCTGCTTTTTATTTCAATCCCTTTAGCAATGAAGGACAAAATTCCATTTGCCTTCCTAATTACTTGTTGTACCTGCAGACCTACCTTCTGTGATTCATGCACAAGGACACCCAGGTCCCTCTGCATAGCAGCATGCTGCAATTTTTTACCATTCAAGTAATAATCCTTTTTACTATTACTCCTACCAAAATGTATGACTTCACATTTACTTACATTGTATTCCATCTGCCAGACCTTTGCCCACTCACTCAATGTATCTATGTTCCTCTGCAAAGTTTCGCAGTCCTCTGCACACTTTGCTTTGCCACTCATCTTAGTGTCATCTGCAAACTTTGACACCCTACACGTGGTCCCCAGCTCCAGTAAAGATAGTTATAAATTCATATGAACCAACTGATGTTATCAAACTTTATTATAACTCATGGGTACTCCAATTACTGTGATGTATCGACAGTTCAGTTAGTACAAAGTCAGCAAAAAAAGACTGAA